GGCGCTCCCGCCGAGGGTTCGGATCCCATGTGGAGACCGGTTCCCGCTCACCGGTTGAGCGCGGTGCGGGCACGACACCGAGGGTTGCGATCCCGTTACCTGTCAGTAAAAAAAGACAAAAAAGGAAAAAAAAAAAAAGTACTACATGCATATGATAATTCAAACAGTATAGTAAAAGTCCTCTTCTTAACCCCTAGTTCTATCATCGAATGGAACTGCTTAAATTCTTTAAGTAGTTTTAAATTTGAGATATTGTAAGCATTTTGTCATATTTTCTTCATGTCTTTCTTAAACCTTTTTATTATAAAATAAAGTGCAGAAAACCATACAAAACAAATATGTAGCTTGATGAATGATTATAGGGAGGAACACCTTATAACCACCACCCAGGTCAAGAAAGAGAAATTTGCCAACTATTCAAAAGGCCCTCGATATTCCTCTTCCCTCCCCACAAAGTAATCACTACCCTGACTTTTAGTATGCAGTTTCTTGAATTTCTTCATAGTTTTGTCACCCAAGTGCATATCTCTAGGTACTATGCTTTAGTTCTGCCTTTTTAAAAATATTCTGTTTGTCTTATCAGTCTCTCTTAATCTATAGTTCTCTTCTCCATCTGTTTTCCTTGTGGTTTATCTGTTGAAGAACTTGAGCCACTTGTAGTGTAACCTATGGTCTGGATTTTATTCACTTAATACAATTTAGCATATTCCTTTGTCTTATGTATTTTTTTTTGGCAGCTGGTGGGTCCAGGGCTCCAACCCTCTGACCTCGGTGTTATCAATACCACACTCTAACTAGCTGAGCAACCTGCCAAACCTGTCTTCTGTGTTTCTTGCAAATTGATAGCTGTCTCTGGAGAGTTCAGACTTTTTTTCAGATTTGTTCCATCCCTTCAGCAGACTCGAAGTGATGATGTGTCCTTTCATTAGAAGGCACACAGTCATATCCAGTGTCTCTCCGTTTGTATTGCTCAGTGTCTAGATCTAGTCCTTTATGGCAGACTGCAAATTGCTCATCTAATTCTAGCATTTCTTTTTCATTTATTAGGTAGAATCTGTAAGGAGACACTTCCCCTCATCTACTATTTAGTTTCCCAGTGTTGCAGTTCATACAGGAAAGGCAGGGTAAATGCTTGATTTTTTTCCCTTTTATTTACTAAGAAACCAATTGGCTTTTTTTTTTTTTTTTAATCTTTACTTACAGATTTAAACATTTTATGTGTTTCATTTGTTCCTTGGCAGTTATTATCTTAATTGATACTCACATTCTTCCATTTTTAGCCAGTGGACAGTTCTTCAAATTAAGTTTCTGAATCTTTTTGACATGACCCTAGTCTCTCTTAGCTTCCTTGCTATCTTATGAAAAGACATTCCTGGCTCAACTTATGTATTCTCTGCCACAGACCTGGAATCAGCTATTTCTCTAAGAAGCCTTAGAGTCTTCTCATGGAAAATGGTATTTTAAGACCATAATGTGAGAAGTAGGAATGGTCATTGCTCTTTGGATGGGCAATTTATAGGCCTTTTTAGTTAAAGGAGCTAGGTATACATTATATGTAAAAAATGTATGAATTCGTACTATTACTTAATAGTATATTTGGGACTTTGTTTTTATATTATATCTATATTTAATTCCACATAAATAATCCTGGTTCTGAAGGACGCAGGGAATGACTGAATTAGAATATTCCTTAATTAGTCATTTGTTTATCTCATACCTCACACATAACAGTCTCAGAATAAAAATGCTCATATTACCACTTAGAATATGATTACTGAAAATAGTTTAAAAGATTTTTTTCTTTGCATATTCATTCTCCATTCTACCCCCATTTTTTGGTGTGCCATATAAATGTTGTCAGCACAAATAGCCATCACACAGTATACTTTCTCCCTTTTAACTTTATCTTAGTTCTACAGCTCACTATATATTGAACACTCACCATCATTGATGGATATCTCCAGTCTTTGGGTCATCCGAAGCTCATTTTCTAGTATTCTTCAGGACGGGCTTATGGGAATGAGTTCTTGCTTGTTGATAACAAGTTGTGCTTTTTTTTTTT